GAGTTTCATCGGATTTGATACGCCCGATTGAAACAAATTGGCGTCTGTTACTTAAATATGAGGAAAACCAATCGTAAGCCAAACCTCTTATTCCATAATGATCAAGCTTGTTGAGAAGGATGTCATGGTTTACAGTGTCAAATGCTTTGGAAAAATCTAAAAATATTCCACAGGAATACCATCCCTTCTCAGTTGCTTGTTGAATGTTATCGGTTATTGAAAGAGCTGCTTGTAACGTTGAATGCTTAGAACGAAAACCAAACTGTTTGTTATATAAAATTTCATATTTTTCAATAAATCTAGTTAATCTTGTATACATTAATTTTTCCAAAATTTTACTAAAAATGGAGAGAAGTAAGATTGGGCGATAATTTGTTAACATAGTCAGTGGGCCTTTTTTGTGAATTGGAATCACGTTGGCTATTTTGAATTGGTCTGGAACCGTGCCAGTCAGGAAGGAAAGATTAAATATTATTTCAAGAGGAATAGACAGGCTAATTTTAGCTGTTTTTAGTAAATTAATTGGAATACTAAAAGGGCCTGTTGCTTTGGAAGATTTAAGTTTTCCAATTTCATACTCATTTTCACTTTTTAGAACAGGAGACATAAAGAAGCTGTTTGGGATAGAACTACCCATAAAAGCTTGTGTCCTTGTATTAGTGCATGGAACAGAATCTGCAATGGTTTTTCCAATATTAGAAAAGTATTCATTGAATGCCAAGGATATATTCTTAGTATCTTTTATCTCCTGGCCATCCTTTATAATTTTTGTAGGTAAGCTATGTCCCCTAGGTTTCAAAGTAATGAGTTGTTTAATTCCCTTCCAAGTATTCTTGATATTCTTATTATTAGCAGTAAAGTAATTCTCATAATAGATTTTTTTACTAATACGTTGCAAATGATTTAATTTATTTCGATAGCACTTGTATTTAGATTTATAATATTCATTTTTTGTTGATAAATATTTCTTATAAAGTTTATTTTTCCTCTTAATTGATTTTCTAATACCAGAAGTAATCCACGGTTTTGACATAGTTTTAACCTCATTTCTAGAAATTCTAGTTACAGGTGCATGTCTGTCAACAACCTTCAAAATCTCAGAATGAAATGATTGAAATAAATTATTAACATTGTTGTCATTTGGCAGTACATTATACGAATCGATATTAGAAACATCGGCCTCAAATAATTCATATATCGTTAAAATTAGAGTAGTTTCTATTAAACAATTTCAAATTATTATTTGGTAGTTCAGATATCTTATTGATAATGAGAAAATTTGGAACTTCAAGGTGGTCACTAATATCACTTAGTATATTACCACTAAGAGTTAGATGCTCCAGAGAATTGAAAAAGATATTATCAATAAGAGTTGCAGTATGGTCTGTAATTCTTGTAGGTTTCAAAATTTGTGGATGGAAATAATAAGAGCCCAGTGTATTAATAAAAGCATCAGTATCGGGATGTGTCTCATAATTTAAGAGGTTGAAATCACCCATCATAATACAGTATTTATTCTCATTATGAATTTTTTCAATTATTGAATATATATATTTTAAAGTCATGTTTATATTTGCATTTGGGTGTCGATAAACCACACCACAGATAATATTATGCTGATGATTACTCTCAATTTCAATCCATGAAGATTCATGTTCATTGTCAGAGGTGGATAGATCTTCTCTCTTATTGAAAGCAACAGAAGTTTTTATATAAAAACCCACTCCTCCAGCATTTGACACTGTTGGTTGTGAGGTAAAATTATATCCCGGCAGATCAATATTAATAATGGGGTCACCACCATGCTTAATTTTGGTTTCAGATAAACCAATTACAGAAAACGAGTGGTTTAGGTTAGACAGTAGAGTACATAATGGGTCAAAATTTGCAGAAAGACTTCGAATATTAAGGTGAAGAGCAGTAAAAGACTTATTGTCAGATAAATTTGTAATTTCTTCACTTGAATGGAATTGATGGGGAGTATAATAGCTGAAGTTTGTTTCACATGGTAAGTGTAGATCAATGTCAATTGTCATGGTGGTTAAGATGAGGGCTATTACTTATGGAGGTCATTATATTGTAACATGGTAAATTTTCTAGCCTAGCAGAAGATATATTACATGTGTTTGTTTGAACTCTGGCATGATAAAATAAATTAGAAAAAAAACAATTCAGAAATTGATTGGTTATCACAGTTTTGAAATGGAAATATATCTAATAAACATTCAGGGCAAGTCCAATGCAAAATACCACCTTCCATTTTGTTCAGGTAATTAATAATTATACTCCTTAATGGAAAAGGGTGTGCATTTTTGATGATAGTGATGATTGCAAATATCGCACTGAACTCTTCTCTTGATCTTAACTAGTGAGTTTTTGCATTTATGACAATGGAAGTTAGTATTAGAACTCATTATTCCTTAAGTAAATCTTTTATAATTAATAAATTAATGAAGTAAAGGCACTTAGCTGATAGACCGTACAAATAAGGTTTATGAAGGAGTTGACAACTTTTCAAGATCCTTTTCAGATGAAATGGTCACAGCACGTGTTCTCTTATTTTGTCTCATAAATATTTTTCCCATTCTCGTCCATATGAATTTATATCCAAGTGTCTTCTTTGTTTCTAAGCTTTTGTTAAATAATATTTTGTTCTGTTTAGTGAGACTCTCACTGATAAAGATTGGATTTTCTGCAACCTTGCTGAGGCCCAAATCGCGTGTTGATTTTCCCCTCAATCCCTTACGAGATTGATAGAATCTATCTCTGATATTTCTGCGCGTAAATTTAACGATGATCATCGGGTCCTGATTTTGTCGCGATGATCATCGGGTCCTGATTTTGTCGAGTATGATGTTGGCAAGCGATGACTGATAGATATGTCCTCATCTTTTACATCTACACCCAACTCATTGGCTAAATGCTTCACCAACGAGCCAGTATTCTCGCCCTCACGTTGTGGTATTCCTTTAATTTCCAGGCAATCTCGTCTAATATATTGTTCGAGGTCATTTGCAATGTCTCTTTGTTCTTGGACTTTGATTGTGAGTCTAGAAACTTCATTTTTTAGACGTTGATTTTCTTGGTTGGTTTCCGTGCAATTTTGGACTGAAATCAAACTTGTGATTACAAATCGCACTCCCGCTTCGCGGTCCAAATTGCACTCCACTCAGTTCAATTACCATTATTAATCATATGTACACAATCGCGATCGCACTTGATAAACCTGACGAGTTACGATAAATGTAGTGGTTCACGTAAGTAGTCTGTTGGTGTTAAATGACTTACATTTATTCGTTTTAAATCTTTTGTGCACCCGTTGCACCCATAGTCTGCACCCGCACTGCACCAAAACTGCTCCAAAAAGTTATGAATACAAAAGGCATGGGGTGCACTTGCACCCGGTGCACCCGTGGTTCCGGCATCCCTGTTGTCAGTAACTGCATGCACATTTACTTTGAGGCTTTAAATTAAATAACTTAATATTTCAAAATCTATCCCCAAACTACAAATTAGACAGCAAGACAAAACGTTTTGACGATGAAAACTTAGTATTAGCTTTGTTTATACTTTGTAGTTTGCACTCCTGCTCAAATTCAACATGGCGGATTTGTAAGGGCATTTTTGTTTTCAATTTGGACACCGGTTACGTAACCAAGCACGCATTCTAGGTCTAATATTTCTATGATTTCAACATACGAGAATAAAAAAACTGTTGAAAAAGGCAGATTTTGAGAAAAATGCAAAAGTTTGCCAACAAATTTTTGCCTTATATTTATGCACTCGCCTGCCTTTCGTTACACAATTTTGTTCTGATATAGTTTAAAATTAAACAAATACACCCGCCCAACGTGATACATATACGTAGCTTACAGTCGTGCCAATAGAAGCGTTCCGAAAAATGTTGACCAATTCATTTTCTAACTTGAAGGAACACCTCTGAACAATTCCTCAACAATTTGATAAGTTCCTTAAAAAGTTCCTAACTTCCTGTTTCATTGACCAATCAGATTGCTCAAAAATAAAATAAAAATTTGATTGGTCAATGAAACAGGAAGTTAGGAACTTTTCAAGGAACTTATCAAATTGTTGAGGAATTGTTCAGAGGTGTTCCTTCTAGTTAGGAAATGAATTGGTCAACATTTTTCGGAACGCTTCTATTGGCACGACTGTAAATAACAAAGAAAAGTTTACTTTCCTCATCCTTAGCAGGGGCATAAATGTCGATTAAAGCCGAGCACAGCCCTTGCAAAGACGCCTGTCATATCAAACTATAGTCGCAACAGAGCCGCCGAGTACTCAGCAAAATATCCTTCCCATTTCGTAGCAAGTTTCGTAGCATTCGATAAATTAATCTTCCAAAAAATGTTTCCTAACACAACAGGGAATCAATTTCAAGACCTTTTACGGTTTTTCCATGGGTTATTTCAACGTACAAAGTCGGATTTCATGATGCTTTTTTTAGGCTTTGTCCAAGACATCCGAATGTAGATATCAGAAGAAAAAAATGGTGTTCTTCGGCATTTCCTTCGCATTAAAAACACATAAGATGTAGATTGTAGATGAAGAGTTACTATCTGCAGCAGTAAAAATAGCGGTATTTTCAAAAAGTAGTAAATGGCAATGCCGAAAATTCAACGTCGTTCGAAAATACATATCAAACTTTGAAAAACAAAATTCATGCGTTTTAAACTTTTAAATTTCGCGCGCAAGCTATTTTTAATGCTGCTGAAAAAGACACCCCCCCGCTGCTCTGGAAATTTTATCTTTACGAAAATTTTCTGTTTGTTCTACATTATAAGTACCCAAACAATCTATATGTTTCAAAAAATTTATGAAATGAACGGATTTGTGAAATTGCATGAGAACCGTTTCAACTTTGTCTACTTTTTCTTATGCATTCTATGGGCTTTATTATAATGTAAAATTCAACACGAAACGCTTCGTAAAACATAATCTCATAAAACGTTTTCAAATGTTCATTGAAATTGTCTGCTTTTTATTATTTTTTATTAAGGTAATTCCGCAGTTTTGCATTGCGCACTTTTACTGCGCACATCTTATAACTTATAATTTCATCCATTATACGTACCGTTTAAAACAAAATATCATTTTATGACAATTTTATGTTACTTCAAAACATCTTTGGTTACATTCGTGCAAAGAATTACGTTAAAATCAATGTTTTCAAAAAAGGCATACAAAAGTGTAGCTAGGGTTCCTGTGTCTGTAGTATATTTATTTACTTGTATTTCACGTTTTATTGCCACAATTCCCTAAAAAGATCGGTGACCCCCGTTTTTTAACTGATAATTTATTTCTTTAATGCATTTTGCATTTCATATCCGAAATTAAAAGAAAAATCATTTCTGGATCTTGAAAAAAAAAGCTTTATCAATGCATGTTCTCAAAGAAAGATATGTAAAGAAATGTGCAAAAGACATTTGTGGATCAGAATTGTACACGTTAGTAGTTTTATTTTGCTCAAAACACAATATTTTTTCAACAAGAAAATATTTCTTTAAAAAAAGAAATAATGTTTCGTTCCAATATAATTATAGAAATACCAAACGTCTGTAATTAGCGGTTGTGACCATAGATCACTTGTATATGTCGAGCAATGAAATTGGTTCATTTTGTGAGGCGGGCGGGTTCTGGTAATTTTTTGCACGTCAAGTATAAATTTTCATTACCTGGAGGGGCCGAGCGGTCCAGAAATACAGTAGTAGTATTTAAAATGAAGAAAAACAAAGAAAACTATATAATAAATATATACCGCTGTTGGCGCTTGAATACTTCAAAAATACTTCATCGTGCCTGTAGATTTAACCTGAAGTTCAGGCCCTAAGATTTTGATTGGTTGCAAGTTCACATAAACAACAG